GAACCAACTCTATAGCATTTAATAACAATCCATAAAGAAGTCTGAGTGATTTTGACATAGACCATTTTATTTAAAGTAAATGAAATTTGCTTTGTTCTGCTTTGACTACATTAATTATTTTATTGATTCCCATCCCAGGGTCAGCTGGGAACTTCATTAAGCAGAAAAGATTCCGCCTTTTACTATTTCACATGTAGAAACCAGTGCACTTTAGTTAAGACATTGATCTTCATTTATTAAGGTACATGATGAATGTAAAAACAAACTAAGAATGGTAAATATGACCTCTTCCAGGCTTTATTCCTACAAGATTTCAGGTTATAACCTGTAGAGGTCTTCATAAGTTTGGTTTCTTCAAACATTTTGTTTCTCCAAAACCAAAACATATATGGTTTTCAGTGTGTCATATATTACCTACCATACTGGCATTTTAATGATTTTAAATTTAAAAGTACTCCTCTAAGAGTTTAATGTTCCAGGAAAGAGAGTTTTATAAATATTCTTTGAAATATTTTCCCCGGTTTCTAGAACTATACCCACAGAACTTTTATTATATTTTATTAAAATATATTAAAAAGCAAATCATTGACAGGAATAGCCATTAAAAAGAAATAAAATCAAAGTGTTTCCTGTTTTTCTTAATAGTAAAAGCAGTTCCAATCCAGTATATATTTTCAATTTAGAAAACAAACTTTGAACAGTTGAACTTCTGATTTGAGAAGTAGCTAAGTCTTAGTTCCTTTTTGCTACATTGTGCTTTAAGAGGCCATCATTAGCTAAACAAAATGTGGTAAAGAAATGCAGTTCTAATATATGCTGTGACATCCAGGAGCCTTGTAAACATCATGCTACATACAGAAGGACAAATAGTACATGATTCTATTTATATGAAAGCTCAAGAATAAACAGATACCTAGAGAAGAAGGTAGACTAGTGGTTCCCCTGCCTGTGGGAAGGAAACAGTTTAGTATTACTGCTTAATGTGTAGGCAGTGTTTCTGTTTGAAGTGATGGGAAAGTTTTGGAAAGTAATGAATGTAAAATAATTGTGAAAATAGTTTAAATGGTAAATGTCATGTTATAGCATCTATATTTTTAAAAACTCATTATCAAGTAGAGAATCACTTATACTATTTTTCTGGAAAGTTGACTTATTAGAGGTAGGAGTATTCTGTTTTAACATCAAAATGTGTTTTGGAAACATTAATCCCAAAGTGGTATATATTCTTTGATTGTTTTATTCAAAATACTTTAAGCCTTAAACTGGCTCTTATGGCCTTGTCTGGAGATCACACAAAGAATCCACAGTAGTAGGTACTCACCCTAGCAGTTGTCCATTGGAGTATGTAGTACCTGAGAAGGTGACTTATCAAAAATATGAGATTCTACAAGAAAAAGACAAATAACCCAATTGAAAATGGGCACAGGACATGAACAGACACTTCACCAAGGAGGAGATCCGGGCAGCCAACAAACATACAAAGAAATGTTCACGATCATTAGCCATCCTAGAGATGCAAATCAAAACAGCAATGAGGTATCATCTCACACCAACATTAACAGCAAAGATCAAAAAAGTAGAGGACAATAAATGCTGGCGAGGATGCGAAGAGACTGGGACCCTCCTACATTGTTGGTGGGACTGCAAAATGGCCCAACCACTCTGGAAAGCAATATGGCACTTCATCAGAAGGTTGGAAATAGAAATACCTTATGATCCAACAATTCTCTATGAGCCATAACACAATTATATATATGCACACCAATGTTCATAGCAGCACTATTTACAATAGCAAAAAGATGGCAACAGCCAAAATGCCCGTCTATTGAAGAATAGATAAACAAACTGGTACATACACACAATGGAATACTATGCTACTTTGAAAAAATAACAAGGAAGCTGCAAGCCACTGCATAACATAGATGGACCTTGAGGACATTATGTTGAGTGAAATTAGTCAGTCACAAAAGGAGAAATATTGCATAAGACCATTATTGTAAAACACTAAGAAAAAGAACACACCCAAAAAGTGGGGGGTAAAAACAAAACTATGTATATAATTGCTGATCACCAGAATGTATGGGATGAGAGAACAGGAGGGAGGGAGGGGAAGATAGAGCACAGAATAGGGAATAGACACAGGAAAGTTTGGGGGTGGGGCTGGCAATACACAAGAAGGGGGAGGGGAAAAGAAGAACAAGGCAGATGGGAGAATAGTTAGGCAGGTTTGCATGGGCTAAGTGGGCCAGAAGTAAAAGATGATCTATGCACAACCTTGGAATAACAGGGCTTCGGGATACAAGGATTGAGGCATGGTTTGAATGAGTAAAAGAGGGGAATAATATTAGGATGCTTGGCTGTCTTTTGAATCTTGGTTTCCCTTGCCTACCACTGTGAAACAGACATTTGAAGGAAGGGGGGAGGAATAGCCAGAAACATCACATTAAAAAATATGTAAGCCCATCTTCAGCCTATAACTGATTGGAATACCTTAAAGGGGGCTAGAAATTGCCCAGACCCAAAATGGTGTGGGGACTATAAAGACAAGAAGTGACTGGCTTACAAGCTTTCAAGAGGGAACCTAGATCCAGAGGGCATGGAGCAAGATAGAATCTCCACTGAATAGTATCCAATCTGTCTAGGCAGGGCTGATGAAAGGAGATG